GTCCAGCAGGAAGTACTGCCAGAAGGACAGCTGGTAGACGGCGGCCTGCAGGTGGCGGGCGCCGCGGTGGCGCAGGATGTACTCGATCCAGTACACGGTCCGCTCCACGGGGTGCCCTGGCTGGTCCCGGTGGATCTCAGACAGCTGCCGGGCCCGCCTGCGGAAGCTGCGGGAGGAACACGGAGTGACCAGGCGCTCACGCCACCTCGACCCGAGAGGGAGGGCAAGCCGTAGGCACAGCCCAGTCCCAGCCAGGTGCTCTGCCCGCGCTGAGCACTGGCTCAGGTCAACACGACAGGTGGCCTTGCAGCAGCTGAGGCGCATGGACACCAGGGGTCTGGCTGTGGACACGGCTGGTGCAGGCTCGGCAGTTCTGATGCAAACACGTGACCCCGCTCCCGTGTCCCCGCACCCGCGTCCCCGCTCCCCGCATCCCCACACCCGCCAGGCCCCTCCGTGAGCCCTTTTCTTGGTACGAGGCCCACGTGACTCACATGGCATTTCCTGGACAGAAAGTGCCTCCTGGGGAGTCCGGGCCCCAGACTGGGCCGTGAGGATTCACTCCCTTTCCCCCCGCCACTTGCTCCACATAATGAACCTCCAGATGCAGAAGAATCGCCAGTTCAGAGCTCAGCTCTCAGGAACCCATGTGGCCGGCCGGCCCGCGAGGAGGGAGGTGCCACGACCCCCGTCACGGGGTGAGGAAGTGGGGGAACCTCCTCGGCACCTCGCGACCCCCTTAACTGGAGCTCCCCGCTCAGGGTGCTGCTGACGCCAGCCGGCTCTTCAGCAACGGCCGCGTGTCAGTCCCTCCCGGCCACAGGCAGTGCCGGTCAGCAGCGACGGGACACCCGGCCAGCGCCTGACGGCACGGGAGCCCTCCGGTCACTGCTCCCCTCCCCTCACTGTGGGGGCAGGAACTCGCTCATTGCACAAAGACTCTGCTGTCCGGCACCCGGCATGTGGGAGCCGCCTGGTTTTAACAGTGCAACCTGCCCGGCCGGCGTGGCTCAGTGGTTGAGCGTCGACCTATGAACCAGGAGGTTACGGTTCGATTCCCGGTCAGGGCACATGCCCGGGTGGTGGGCTCCGTCCCCAGTGGGGGAGGCAGCTGATCTATGAGTCTCTCATATCATTGATGTTTCTCTCTTTCTCCCTCCCTCTCTGAAATCAATAAAAATACATGTTTTTTTTTAAAGGGGGGCTGCTCCGTTACCACCCCTGAGGCCACTGTGCTGAGCTCAGCAACTGGAGGTTCAGCAACATAAGATGAGCTCTGACTACGGCTGGCCCGAGCGGTGCTGGTGCTGCCTGGTCACTGAGGCCCCGCGGCTCCCCTGCGCACCCCCCCACCGGGAATGTGGGCGCAGGGCTGTTTTCACTCCCAACTCGCAGAGGACCTGCAGGAGGCGACGCGACGTGCCGGTGCCCACAGCGAGGGCTGGGCCCAGTGGCTGCTCCCTCCCCCCCCCCACCCCACGGGCAGCTCACCTGGGGTCGTTGATGACCTGCACCAGGGCCGCGTGCAGCTCGGCCTCCGTCAGGGTCTTCCACTCCAGCAGGAGGCCCATGCCCTTGGCCTGCACGCGGGTCATCGTGTCGTAGTGGTCGCCGAAGAGCGGGATGCCCACCACCGGGACGCCGTGGTACATGGTCTCGAAGATGCTGTTCAGGCCGCCGTGGCTGAGGAAGGCCTTGGCGTGGGGGTGCCCTGCGGAGCGGTGGCAGAGAGAGCGCCAACGCTGCGTCACGCCCGCCGGGCAGAGGCTTACAGAAACCTCTGCGGCACCAACACCCGATAAACGGCTGCCCCGTCGGTGCCCCTGTGCGCGGCCACCACAGCCACTTGGCCCCGTGACTCCCGTTACCGCCCTGGGAGGCCCTTCACGCCTACACGGTGGCCAGGAGGCCTTCGTCTTTCTCTCTAGCAATTTCGTTACGAACACACACGTGACCGTGGTGGGCGATGCCTGAGCCCGTCAGTTAGAAAAGCCGTTCAGGCAGCCAAGGTTGGGAGCTCTGAGAAGTTTATCCCAACGTCCTCCCCAACACCAGCAGCCCCGACCACCCCCACCTAAGTGAGCTGCGCTGCACAGGAGTCCGCGGGAGCAAGAACGGCAGCTCATGCTCCTGAGGGCAGACCCGAGTCCTGGCTGCACCAGTGCTGCCCACGCTGGAGCCAGCCCGTCTGTGAGAGCCGCAGTGGGGACTCGGGCTGGGGCCCGGGTGCTCGAGGAGCCCATGCTCCCAGGACACTGACCAACCTGCACACCCCCACACAGGCCACGTGGGCAACTCCCTCCCCCTCCTCTGTCCACATTGGCACACACACCAGCCCCTGTGGCCTTGGACTCGAGGGGCCCATCCCCATGCAGCCCCCAGCACCCAGCGGGTGGTCCTGCAGGGTCTGTCCCTCGACCACAGGACTTGCCCTCCCAGGGGACCCACACTCTCTCCCTGAAGGGAGCGTCGCCCCAGGCCCAGCCTGGAGAGCAGGTGGCGCTGGGTGCACAGGGGGGACATCTCGGGGTCCCCCTGCTTACCCCGAGCGCCCTCTGACCATGGCCAGGAACAGTGTTTCAAAGATGCCTGGTGGTTTAGGGGGGATTTAGGCAGATGATCCGAATGAAGTCAAGATAAGCGGACTGTGTCCTTGGCCTCTGCTTGTCTTTGGTTGTCAGCTGATGAGTAACCTTGACTGTCTCTGGAATACAACTGTGACGCAAACCTACATTCTCACTGCGTGAACTACAACTGTAGGCACTCAGTCTGATGAGGTGTAACTTCACTCCCTGCTAATCTGCTTAGTCATATAGACTATGTGATTGTTTAAGTGTATTTTACGGGAAATCCACATGAGTGACCGGTCTAGAATTTCGCATTTATAGGCCCAAATGATTGGCCTCTGCAAAGTACTTTCCAACAAATGAGGATCGGCCTTGCTGTGACCTCTGGGAGCTGAGATACCAGACGACGTTACTGCCGTCTCCTGGAGCAGCCCCAGGCGCACCTTAGTGTCTGAGAGCCTGGGTCAGGGTCACATGGCTCATTAGTGTCTGAGAGCCTGGGTCAGGGTCACATGGCTCATTAGTGTCTGAGGGCCTGGGTCAGGTCACATGGCTCATTAGTGTCTGAGAGCCTGGGTCAGGGTCAAATGGCTCATTAGTGTCTGAGGGCCTGGGTCAGGGTCATGTGAGCACAGCAGCATCCAAGCTTAGGTCAAGGTCACATGAGCCTCCGAGCTTAGGTCAAGGTCACATGAGCCTCTGAGCCTGGTCAAGGTCAGGTGAGCGCAGAGCGTCTGAGCCGACTACTCACCCAGCAGGTCGTTCTGCGGCAGCCACTCCAGGAGCTTCGTGTTGTTGCCCAGATTCCTGGGTTTGGTTCCAGAAAACCTGTGGGTGCAGACAGGCCCCTCAGACACCAGCTCCCTCGCACGGACTCCGTCTGCAGCGTCAGGTGACCACGGAGCTGCCACGGCTGCTGTGGACACTGGGCAAGGAGCCGCCTTTCACCACAGCAGCACTTCCTCAGTTTCCTTTCCACGTTTCCTTGATTCGCGGGAGACACCGGCTCACACTGAGGCCCGTGCCCCTCCTCTCTCACCTGTACGCGAGGCGGGAAGAGCCCCAAGGAACCTGTGCTGGGAACCCAACCCCGAGGACCCAGAGGTAAACCCGGGGGGACCGGGGGAGCCAGGGGGGTGACCGTCAGCTCCGCGCTGGACATGGGCTGGGAGGCAAGGATGTGCTGTCCCCCCGCTCCACCCGGGACAGGTTTGGGGGAGGCCATATTGGCTGGCGCTGCCTCGGCCTCTGAATGGAGAACCTTAAAGGTTTATGGACGTGAAGTGTCCTAAACCAGGCAGGGGGCACTTTCCCAGGAGCCTAACAGGAAACCCCACAGGGCGGGTCTGAGGGCTCAACCCAGCCACTTCCTGTCGGCCAGGAGCTGTCAGAGGGTACGCTGCACCCCTCAGAGCCAGCTGCCAGGGCGCCAGTTCACCGTTGGGCCCCCAGGGCCCGAGGGGAGGGAGAGGGAGGAGGGAGAAGGGGGAGGACAGCCCAGCAAACACCTGCATGGGGTCGGCCGCAGGGCAGGTGCAGGGCAGCACCACAGGGCGGGCCGCCTCTGGGCCTCGTCCCAGCATCACGGCCACTGGCCACTGGACGCTGCTGTGCTCTCAGGGCCCGGCCTCAGGTGGGACCCAGAGGCCGTGGGATGTTCTACCCACTTATCACCCACCCACCGTCTCCTTCCCGCCCTGATGTGAGGCACAGAGACATGACAGTGAGGACAGTGGACGAGGGGGGCCGCCCCGCACCCCCACATCTC